GACTAGAGGGAAGGCAGCTAGTCATCACCACCCACCGCCAACTCTTGGGCTACTCTTTTACCAACGAATAGTGGGATCGACCGTCACATTATAATGCCCCCACGGCTGAAAGGGCGAGCAGGTTTGGTAGGACGGGGGTTCGAACTCGCGACCCTCAGATTGCGAGTCGAGCGCCTTATCCACCTGGCCATGCTGGGCCTATAATGTATAGTGATGGACAAATATATTCCTAGACTAAAACACAGCCCCATTAAGCATGTATAAAATTTTACCAGTACAAAAGCAGACTTTTTAAATAAAACATGTACATCTAATGCATCACTTTCAGTAAACCTTCATGTCTTTCAAAATAACAGAAATATTAACAACTTATGAAATTTACAATAAAGTAGGGATATTGCTATAAAAAGGACTGAAACAAGAATTAAAACTAAAACCACAATCACAAATTTATAAAATTTAATCCTTACTCTGGCCTACAGATTAGTGTATAAAGCTGCCAAAGTTGGGATTAAATTTTATAACTTTGTGATTGTGGTTTTAATTTATGTTTCAGTACTTTTTGTAGCAAGATCCCTCCTTTATTTTGAAATTTATAATTTTTTAACACTCTTGTTTGTTTACTTTTATGTTCTACCTGTATAAACTATATACTTTACCTTTAGAAACTGTATCCATCGATATGCAGCGCCATCCATTGGGTTGAAAAGATATTTAAGCATGTTCATGATTTGTTTACTATTTATAATATACCCGTTTATATATGAATTTTTATCGAAATGTAAAAACGGAAGACCACCATTAAACCTAGTACTGTGAGAGAATACTGGACCAAATGACTTAGTAGTTTTTAACCTAGGATCTCTAACGTCATCAGTCAGTTAGCTGAATTAGTTGTTATTTTAAATATTTTAGCAGAATGATTTCCGATCTTTTGCCACTGTAAATCAAGGTACAATGTTGTTTTTGTTGTGTCTATGTATCCCAGTAGGTTTTTGGTGGGAAAGGTTTTTATAAGACGGTTTTTGGGAAACCGTTTCTTGTGGCTGCCATTTTTTTCCTTGTCGATTCCTACTATTAAGTGCTACTGTATTTAATGATTATTTTGTGAATATGTGTAATGAAATTTAATATTATGTGTATTGATTCTATTTTTTTCATTCTTTCACTTCATGCATAATATAGGGGTGGGCTCCCTAAAGAAACCGATTGTATTGTGTACAAAGCTAATGTTCTTCTATCATTGGTTGGTAATCCTGTTTCACCCTGTACTTAAACTTTTTAAATGAACACGAGATGTTTGTAAGAAAGTTAACTCCAAGGGGTAATGATAACATTGTTTACACTAGAATTATGATGCTTTTTAGCTTATGTAAAATATAGAGAAACAATCAACTTTTTAATACCTTACGACCTTCGCAGTACCTTGTTTAGTATTCTACAAAAGTTTTGGGTGCAATATACCAAGCTGTTTTTGTTGTAGGCTGGCAAGAGAATAATAATAATAAGAATTACAAATGGGCCATTTTGAGCAGATTTTGTTTTCCTTGTATGTCTAACATGCATGTTTTGTGTATTTGTATATGTGTACAGCCTTAGCAATCAATAGTAAATGTTTTAAAGTGTTCTTCACCCGCTTCATTAGAAGCTTCCAGAGGCATAACTAGGCACTGGAATACGGGGCCCGTGCCCCGATTCTATTTGATAATGGCCCGAATCTCCAGTTGGTGTTTTTGAAAAATCAGAATAGAAAATCATGGTTAATATCATACTGAAACACCGAAAATTCCCACGCCTATGGGCCCAAGCTCCTAATCTTTTTTTAAGCACCTAGTGACGTATCTGGAAGTTTTGTTGCTGCATCATCCTGGAGGTATAAAAACTTGTCTCGTGAGTTGAAGTACAAACTAAAGAGCTTATGCTTTTTGGCTTTAACTTAGATAAAATTTTAAAGAAACAATGCTTGCAACATATAATAAATGGCTGAAAGTCATAATTTGAAAAGAAAGATGAAATATAAGATTAACTTTGACAAAGTTAGAACAGTTGGTAGGTATGGATACTCACTAGTGGATATCAGTATCATTGGTTTGACAAGTATGGTTACCCTCAACAGTGCATACGAGCACTGTTGGTTTGACAGGTATGGTTACCCACCAGTGAGTACGAGCACTGTTGTTTTTTTACAAGTATGGTTACCTACCAGTTGATAGAAACATCGGTAGACAAGTATGGTTACTAAGCAGTGGATTTAAGCACTGTTAGTTCGACGGGTATGGTTATCCACCGGTGGGCCCCCCAGTGGCACAGCGGTATGTCTGTGGACTTACAATGCTAGAAACCGGATTTCGAAACCCATGGTGAGCAAAGCACAGATAGCCCACTGTGTAGCTTTGTGCTTAACTTCAACCAAATAAACCCACCAGTGGATTTAAGAAACGTTGGTTTGACAGGTATGGTTACCCACTAGTGGATACCAGCATCATTGGTTGACCAGTGGCCACTGCTTGTGCATACTGAAACTTCGTCTATAGTCTCCATATATGGCATTTTTCTGTAAAAACAATAATACCATTATTGTCGTCCCTTCCTGCCAAAAGGTCTCATAATGTATATTATATCTAAGCGATTGGTCCTACTGAGAAAGATGTGATTTCATTGGTCGACTATAAAATTAGTATAGAAAAAACATGCTAAGAACTAAAGTTACTTAAAGATGGCGCCCAAATAAAAAAATTCAATAAAAAGTAGGGGAAAAAATCATCAAAACTGAGAAATATTGTTCAAGAGGTCTACAAAGGATTTTATAGAAATAAACCCCATGGTAAGTAAAACAACTTGAACGAAAAATGTTAATTTTTGGCTGTCGTAGCGTGATATATGGAGTTAATATATGGAAGGAGCAGCAAGTTAATACGTTAATATATGGAAGGAGCAGCAAGTTAATACGTTAATATATGGAAGGACCAACAAGTTAATACGTTGATATATGGAAGGACCAGCAAGTTAATACGTTAATATATGGAAGGAGCAGCAAGTTAATAACTTAATATATGGAAGGACCAGCAAGTTAATACGTTAATATATGGAAGGAGCAGCAAGTTAATACATTAATATATGGAAGGACCAGCAAGTTAATACGTTGATATATAGAAGGACCAGCAAGTTAATACGTTAATGTATGGAAGGACCAGCAAGTCAATACGTTAATATATAGAAGGACCAGCAAGTTAATACATTAATATATGGCGAGATATATTATAGATATTTTTATTACACCAAGGAAATATGCAAATAACAATGAAGTAATGCGACAAGGGGGAAGTATAAAACAGTCTTGTAAGTTACTCCTGAGGATGACGTAGATCACGTTGAAACACGTACGTCTATTGTTTTAAATTATATTTATACACAAGTGCATATTGTAGAGTAGTTCTTTTATCACTACATCTTTCTTAGTGAAGAAAATGTTTTCCAGATTTCCTTCATTGAACATCAAGTAACTTACCTTCGAGATGGAGAACTACCATATCGCTTAATGGTTTCCATGTTAAAGGTGGTAAAAACTGGAGTAGATTGTAGGCAAACTTAACATCACGTAGCTTCGACATATTTAGGAAGATAGTTTCCGGAAGTGAAGTCAACATGTTCCAACTAAATAAACAAAACTGAATGTAATACACTTTTTTTTTGGAGTAATATTTTTGTGACATATCAAATGCCCGTGTTAGATTCATATTCCATTTAAAACATATTTAAATTATCGTTTAAGAAGCTAAGAAAACGACACCGTAATATTGTTTTAAACACTAGATACTAGCCCTAATAACGATCTTGTAACAGCTGTTCATATTCGTTAATGCGTGACATTCTTCGTCTAAAACAGAGAATAACATTTGTTAAATCATTCTCATCAACAATACATTACTTTCTGTGCCGTTTATTTTATGTATGGTTTGAAAAACCACACGCTAATTTCGACTATTTCCGACAGATGGCAATGAGATTTCAGTCTGGGTCAGGACTAACCTTGGAGCAAAGTTTCTCATCACTCGTCAGTCAATGTTGACGAACATTGCGGAAAATGTATTTATGAAGAACTGTCGTGAAAGTGGAAAAGTAAAAGAAAAGGTAACTAAATTCAGGTTACATCACCTATTTCAAGTGGCCATACCTGGAAAACGAACTTGGTAACATTATGCACAAAATACTTTATATATGGAGTTTCTGACGTCAAGGGAAGTGACGATTTCTAGTTGTAAAATCAAGCTAAGCAATGCAGTAGAATAACATTCACCGCATTTCACCATATAGGCATTTAAATAGCGTTTTATTTAATATGGATTATTTAAAGTAATGAATACATGAGTATGTTTAATATACTACTTATTGACTATAACCATCCTTAATTGCTAGCTTCCAAGTGTAATGTTAATTTTAATATAGAGACATTCCAGAATGACGACCGAAACCTCATTATTAGAAATCCCCCAGTGGTTCACCAGTAATCTGGAGACTTATAATGCTAAAACAGGGTTTCGATACCCATACTGGGCACAGCACAGACACCCTATTGTGTAGCTTTGTGCTTAACAACAAAAATTATTAGAACATGACGCTATCTTTAAAATCTCGAGTTGTGTTAGTAACTAAAGCCTATAAGATATGGTAGAATCTTTAGAATGTAGAAAGTGATGTTAGGAAATTCAACCCATAGAATATGGCGCCAACCTTAGAAAATTGAGAGTAATGCAGTAAGCCTAGATCCATATAATATACCATTAACACCTAAAATAAGCAAGCCTAGATCCATATAAAATATCATTAACACCTAAAATAAGCAAGCCTAGATCCATATAAAATACCTTTAACACCTAAAATAAGCAAGCCTAGAACCATATAAAATACCATTAATACCTAAAATAAGCAAGCCTAGATCCATATAAAATACCATTAACACCTAAAATAAGCAAGCCTAGAACCATATAAAATACCATTAATACCTAAAATAAGCAAGCCTAGATCCATATAAAATACATAACATCTAAAACAAGCAAGCCTAGATCCATATAAAATACATAACACCTAAAATAAGCAAGCTTAGATCCATATAATATACCATTAACACCTAAAATAAGCAAGCCTAGATCCATATAAAATACATAACATCTAAAACAAGCAAGCCTAGATCCATATAAAATACATAACACCTAAAATAAGCAAGCTTAGATCCATATAATATACCATTAACACCTAAAATAAGCAAGCCTAGATCCATATAAATTACCATTAACATCTAAAATAAGCAAGCCTAGATCCATATAAAATACATAACATCTAAAACAAGCAAGCCTAGATCCATATAAAATACATAACACCTAAAATAAGCAAGCTTAGATCCATAT